CATACAGGGTTGCAACCAATACTGAAAGATGGTCTTTACTCTTTAAGCTGAGGCGTCCTTTAGCTCTTTTTTCAACCATTTGTCTGTGAGCATTCTCTGATCGCTCCAAAAAGGCTCCACTGCTTGATCACCAAAGGCCCTCACATTTTGTCACGAGAAGATGAGAGTTGTCATCAACTGACATCAGCTTTCTCACTTTCTCATGAGCTTCCCAGAATTGCACACCACATGGCTCTATTTCCAACAAGTATTGACAGATCATGAACAAAGAGTGTAGAAAACAGAGACGCAATACATTACTCAGACTTATGAAAGCTGCTGCAGTCTGGTGTATTGTTAAAATGTTTTGTCATCTTAGGTACCAAGTACTGTATATGTGAAGAGCTGAGGCTTTCATATACGTTATTCTAGAATGCCGACAGGAAGCTCCTAGTCTATATCTTAGGGAGTGCAATGAAGAATGTGAAAATGCCACACCAAAATAAAAACTTTGTTACTTTACTACATTTACAGTAGGGCTGCAACTAACAATTATTTTGCTTATCGATTAATCTCTCGATTTTTTTTTTTTTCCGATTAATTGAGTAATAATTGGATAGCAAAAGGTTACATAAAGAAGACTTTTTACAGACTTAAACAAGGTGAAACTAAAGCTTTTCTACTTAAGGAGTTCTGGATAGAATACATTGACAGATGGAAAACTTTTTATTACCTTAAATGCTAAATATTTATATAGTTTTTACAATCTTAGTATAGTTACTGCTCTAAGTGGCATGTTTTACAGTCTCTATACTCCAGTTACGATTAATCATTTATTACTTGAAAGCTGCAAACCCAACATTATGTTTATCAAAAGGGTGCTCGCCTGTGGACAGAGCAGAATTATTTCGGAATAAAATTATTTGTTTTTATGGGTAGAGGGAAAAATAATTGAAAACTGTTGCTTTTTTGTTTGCTTTTCAATGCTAAATATGATTAAACATTGTTTTCTGCTATCTTTGTATTTTCAGAATACTGCAAAGAGATTTCTTAAAGCCTCAAAACTATTTTAATTGAGCCATTTTTAATCTCAGTGGAAATGTTGCTCCCTTAAAAAAGAAGTCTTTATAATTCCTAAAACCTTTCCTTTTTCTTTCTTTTTTCATTCTCTTGTTTAACATGCAGGATTCATTCTGAATAAAACTAAATTAGCTGAAACCATCCAGTTTAATCACAGTACTTATCAGGCATTTAACCATCTTTTCATCTTGAGATTTAGTGCCAAAGGACAAGTATTTGTTAATGTCAATCACCTAATTTAGCAATATTGATTATAATTATAGTATTATCATATTCTTCCTGTAGACTGAGCTGTCACAGTGTCTTTACCGATGCCTATTTCAATAGTAATTCACTTGCTTGTCAGTTTGTCACAGGTAGTGTGAGTAAGTTGTGTTGTATTGAGGCATCATTATTGAATATTGTCTTTGTAATTATGTCAAACATTTTCATTACTTTATTCATTTATTTTTTTTTTTTTTTGTGGGAGTTTTTAGAAATCAGGTCATCAATACACCACTCTACTTTATTTAACAAGGAGAGTTTTCCCCCAATGAAATCAATACTTTTTAGTTCATAGAGTTTTACCTGAAAGTTTACCCATCTTCCCTTTAAAGTTAATGATAAATTCATACTAGTAATCAAATAACACAAAACTGAAAGAAGTTATAATAAGTGAAAATTTACAAAATTATGATAATTTCATAAAATAATATATCGATTTTGAAATTTTCTTCAAGAAAAAATTCTAAAAAACAAACAGTATTAGACAAATCAAAGAACCTTGCTCATGAACAGTGAAACATCATACCTGTCAACAGGTGCAGAAATCTGACTGAACATTTCTTGAACATTACAGAAAACACCTGATTAATTGAATCTCTCAATGTTTTGCGCAACAGTTTATTTCAGGAGCTCCATCAGGCTTGTTTACTTGTTTTATTTATTAATATTTACATATATATGTCTATAAATATTCTGAGTCATGAATTCTATTTTATGTATTTTTTCTTATTATTACTTTTGTCAATTTCCATTATCATATCTGCTCTCTCAGCCTGTCATTTATGAGTCAAGATGATTCTATGTCGTTGCTCTAATATCCATGCTGTTGTCATGAATCGGTGTTTGTATGGTGGACCCAAACGCAGAGACCAGTAGGCAGAGGTGAAGGCAGGACAGAGAAACAGAGGAAGGGAGGACACAAGAGGGCAGCAGAGGACAACAAATGGATAACAGGAACAATCAGACCAGGACCATGACAGTACCCCCCACCTAAGGGCGGATCCCAGACGCCCTAAAATGTCCAGAAACTAAAAACAACCCACCCAGGGTGGGCGGAGGGGGAATCAGGCACAAAAACAGAACAGAGTCCGAAAATCAAAACAACCCACCCAGGGTGGGCGGAGGGGGAATCAGGCACAAAAACAGAACAGAGTCCGAAAATCAAAA